CAAGAAAAAACAGCATTCCATTTGAAGGAATTACATAAAGCACAAATGTCTAAAGTATTTTTGTGGAAAAACACATTGGATGGCAATCATTTTAGATCAAACTCACACAGCAATCCGTGCTTTAAAGGACACACCCAACTCACTCACTGCACTTCTGCCAACTGATCTGATCTCTGCCAAATAAAAGAAAACTGCTGCCAATTGTAGATTGCCAAGGGACTGACTTCCTCTAAGACCTTTCGATGAGTTCAAGCAAAATTATAAGTTACCTGCACCTTGCAACAATGTACTGCGTTATTTATAAAAATTTGGCTTTTATGGCAGTTTGAAATTATTGAAGAAAATCAAGCAAAAATGGAGACAAACTCAGGAAGATTGAAACTGTTAACGTGCATTCATATATGTGTAATTCTTTATTAAACTTAGCTTAGTCTGGCACAAGGACATAGAAATGAAATTAAGACTAGAATTTATGGAAGTAGTAATAGTCTGTTTGATTAGCTTGCTAAAAACTGAAGTGTGAAAATGACAGTCACCATGCAGTGTTGATTCTTATATCCACCCTGTTGATATCATTCTGTATGCATCTATATGAATAATAATAATAACAACAAAAAATGATGACTAAAATACATGCAGTGTTACTAAAATTTAAAATTCTTTAAGGCAAGCAGATTTTGTAAAGAAAATGATCAATGAGAAAACTAGAGCAACAGTAGTCAACAAAGAAAAATCTCTTTCCCTTTCTCAATCTCTCTCTCTTTCTATCTATCTATCTATCTATCTATCTATCTAAATATATATTTGTTATATTGTACCCCCCAGCTCCCACCAAAAAAAAAAGTAAGGAAAAGTTCTCAGGATGAGCCATTTGCCAAAATCAGAATCAGTCTTGGAATTCCTTCTTAGTTAGGCTGAGAATGTTTCTGCACCCTTTTCATAAAAGGATAAGAAAAAATTCATTAACAAATGGAAATCTTTGTGCAAAGATAAAATTTGTTTGTTTTCAATTTATTTGAAATTCATTTTAAAATTGATTAATAAATTTAGCCTTGATTATTTCTCTGATCTTGAGTCTATATGGGTTACGGTTAATGAGTACAATGCTTTGTTGAAAAGGATGTCTACTGTAGAGTAAAGTTTAGCAACTGCTAGTGTAATGAATGTGCTTCTTACTGGGAGCCTTTCTATTAAGACCTTTATACTAGAATAAAAGTCTTTGTGAAATTTATTTTTACCGAGTACTTTACCAATGTGGCTTTGTGTCAAATTAAGTAAAACCAATATCAACATATTGAAATTGACTGGACTCTGTACAGGTTGTCAAATGGGGTAACAACTTTTTATTGCTTGGGTTAGTGTTGTGGCCTTGTTAGGACCAGAAATAAAGACACAAGAGAGGAATTGAGTTAAACAAAATATATTAACAGAAACAGTAATACAAACATATACAAACAAGAGTGTTACAGCAAGAATGTTTGGTCTTGACTGTCAGATCTGACTGCTGGAAACTTCCCTCCCCAAAAGGTAGTACCTGCTCCTATTTATACTTGTGAGAGTCCATGCGTGCGTGGGTAAATTGCCATAACACTTAGATCAGTTAATTATGCAAGAATAGTTTTCAAATGTGCTCACACCTAACTATCATTGTATATCAGTGAGGAGACAGTAGTCAGGGAGAAATGGATTCATGCCTTTTCAAAGATATTAGTGCAAAGAGATCATAAGCTTCTTCAGCTGTAATTTTAGGGCTATATCCTTGAACATACATTGTTCCTAATTTTCATCAATGTCATCAGTTCTCGACTCAGTATCTATGCTGATAACGTAACTATTTATTCCTGTCTTAATAGTAAGTCTGATTGATTTGATAAGATCAAATTAGCAGCTGATCTAAAAAAATGACCGTCAATCTGTTGTTACCTGGAGCAAGGAATGGCTTGTTAATTTTAACAGCTCCAAAATAAATGAATGCTCTCTTTTAATCATCTTAGAGAACCCATTAGGCCTTCAGTCAGCATGGCTGATGCTAACCTAAGTGAGTCATTGCATCTTCTCAGGCTAACATTTTCCACTCAGATGAAGTAAAAGAATTATATTGTATCAAGTGCTAGGTTTGCTGTATCATGCGAGACAATTTTTCTTGCACATTTATAAATCTACCATTCATTGGTGCATTATATATTGTTGCCAGCATCTGGTCTGGTATTTCTGCCAAGGAAGAATTTGTAATAATATTGGTCCTGACCTGGCATCTCAGCTTCAGTCACTTTCCCACCACAGTAACTTAGCTTCCCTCTGCCTTTTCTATAAATATTTTCATGGCAACTGTTTGGATGTGCTTTCTTTGTTGGCATCTAGACTTCATGAATTTAAACTCAGTATGAGATTGGCAGTTATCTATCTATCTATCTATCTATCTATTGATGTCTACATCGATATGTCTATCTATCTATCTATCTATCTATCTATCTATCTATCTATCTATCTAGCCAGCTAGCTAGTTGTTTATCTATTCCTCTATCTAGCTATTCCTCTATCTCTTGCACTATCTATCTATCTATCTATCTATCTATCTATCTATCTAAATTGGATGACTGATCATGTGGTTTATGACATTGAACTTGATGCAGTTTGGTCTTCATGAAAGAAAAGAAAATTCTTTTTCCTCACTTTCATCCGAACTTAATGTTTTCCTTTCTGATTCTTTAAATTCTGTTTATGAGTTTTATTCTAAAGATGATATCTCTCTTTATCTTATCTTGAAGATTACAGTGAGAGAAGATGACGTGTTGCCTGCCTAAGGTATTATTGATCAATTTCGTAAAGCTTCATCTACTAAAATCCCAACTTCTTTCACAGAAGAAGGATAATAGCTGCATAATTTTAGTGCTAGAAAAATAAGCATATGGTTTAGAGGTGAGTGAGGCAGAAAAAGAATGAGTCTGTTTTCATTTCAAGGAGAAAACACTATAAAATAGAGAGGGTAAAGAAGAGTGTAATATTGATAGAGTAATTAGAACTCTAGAAGACAACAATAAAAGGTAAGAGAGACAGATGAATGGCAGCAAAGAGAGAGAGATAGTGGGAGAGAGAGAAGAAGGAGAGGGAGAAAAGTGTAAGATTGAAAGAGAGAGAGAGAGGGGAGGAATGAAAGAAATGGGAGTGGAGGGGAGAGGGAGGGGAGGGAAAAGGAGGGGTGGGAGAGGGAGAAAAGATAAAGAGAGATGAGGGAGGGGAGAAGAGAAGGTGAGGGGAGATGGAGAAAAGTCAAAGATGGGGGAGAAAGAGGGGAGGAGAGGGAGAAAAGTGTAAGATTGAGAGAAAGAGAGAGGTGGAGGGTAAAAGAAATGTGAGGGAAGAGGGAGAAAATTGAAAGATAGAGAGAGATGATGGAGAGGAGAAGAGATGGAGAAGTGGAGAGAAAGGGGAGAGGGGAGGGGAGAAGGAGGGGATGGGAGAGGGAGAAAAGAGAAAGATAGAGAGAAGGCGAGAGGAGGAGAGAGAGAGAGAAAAGTGAAAGATAGAGAGAGATGAGGGAGGGGAGGGGAGGCGAGACAGAGGAGGGAGATGGAGAAAAGTGAATGATAGAAAGAGAGAGAGAGGTGAGGAGACCAGGAGAAAAGTGAAAACTAGAAAGAGAGAAGGAAGAAGGAGAAAAGTGAAAGAGAGGGTAGGGGGAGAGAAAGTGTGAGAAACATGAGAAATAGAATGAGAGAACTGGAATGTAGAATTTGGTTGGGTTTTGCGTTAAGAGCTGTTGGTAAAAATAACCATTTTTGTTTCTCCGTTCCTGAGATTGTCAAAGCAAAAAGAAAAAAATAGTGAAAAAAAATGAATAACCTGAAGAAAAATATTGTGTAATGGAATTAAATTCTGATGTAACTTTCAGTGGAACTGCTTTAGGTGCAAAGCATTGTGGGTAGTCAGAGTTTTACATCAAGAAATTGAACACAAAAATCAATAAAGTTTTCCTTCAAGATTTAGGAAATACCAATTTTTTTTTAAAATGTTTATTGTGACAGAAAAAATGGATATGCATTGACACTTATTGGAAGACTGATAGAGATGTACATGGATCTGAATGCACTGATGTAAAAATGGGGGTGGGCTGTATATATGGGCCTCTAAGAAGGACACTGGGAAATAAAGGCACATTTATAGAGCATGAAATGAAACTTTGAATAGCTGTGCATATTTGAATGTTTACATGTGATTAAGAACCTTTAAGTACATTTTTGAAAATAAAAAAATTAAACCAAACTCCAAAGTGGTAAAATATTAAACTCACAAATATCACCAGGATTATAAAAGCATAGATAAATTTATAGAATGCAGTATTGTCAGTCCAATGGTAAAGCTAAGATAATACATAAAGATAATATTAAAAACGATATATTTACTTGTCTTCATCAGATCAACTGTAGCTGTACTGAAATTTACAAGATTCTAAAATCAACAGAAATCCCTGTTTATCTATCAGCTATTAAGAGAATTGATCAATGCTTTGAAATAGCAGTGAATGTATGAATGGTGTAGTCGATATTGACTCAGAATGAGAAATTAGAAATCCACTATCCTCTGCTCCACTAGCTATGGGTTAAATAGTAGGACTTGTATTTGAAAAAGCATTGTTATTGTAAAGGATATTTGATATTCACTTGCCAAAAAAAAATTGTCCTTACATTCCAAAATATGTTTCAGATTTAAATAATCTGCAAAATGTTGATAAGACATAAAAAAACAAATCAATCATAGCAATCAATCAATTTGAAATAAAAAATAACATTGCCAGAAAGAAAAGATCTTGAAAGCCCAAAGGGTCTCATCATGCAGGGATGACCACCTGGAGTAATTTACAGTTCTCTGAGACAGGAAGTTGACATGCTATGTTCAAATTCCATTTGAGTTTGTTGCATCCACTTCTCCCCCTATGGGCTAAATAGCAGAGGGAGACTCTACTCTTTAGATTTGATGATTAATTGTCATTCATGATTAAACTCTTCAGAATTAAAACTCTGTTACCAAAATTATGAATATTGTAATATAGCAACAACTCTAAGTGGAAGCATATGAAACTTTATTTGACCAATTCAGCTTTAGTGTTGAAAAAAGTTTATTTTATTGCAATGGAATTGTTACAAGTGAGGAGGGGGTAGAGATGGGATATGCTTATTTTATTAACACATTCTCCGCCCCACCCAGTATTTATTTTACTCAGATGGAAGAAAATTGCGGGTCTATTGGGATCTTCAGGATGGATCAACTGTATTAGGTCTTTCTTGTGTTAATTCATCAGGTTCTGATTTTGGGTGCTTTGACCTGACATGCTTTGATGCTCAGACTGTTTTCCTTCTGAATTAGAATAGTTGGTTTGTAGGGTGAGCCCATTTCTGAGGTACTGACCATTCATCAGAGATAGAGTCATACCATGAGGATCCTAGACTTGAAAGCTCTAGGTATTCCTTGCGAGGTGAACAGGGAGTTTTGCCAATGGAATCATCACTTGATGTATCGGAAATGGATATTGCAGATACTTCTTGTATAGTTACAGGACCAGCTTCCTTTTCTGCTGGGGCTAAATTGTGTTATATTAAGTGTATGGTAGCAAGAGAAAGGAATAATGTGGGTTAGAGTGAAACAGCATTTATTGTTGGTAGACAGTACAGGAATAGCAATCAGATGTATGTGTAGTGTCAGGAGTTGAACCCTTTCTTATGCCAGTGTGGCCAAGGTCACAGGATATGGTTGGAGCATGTTTGGTTGATGGAGGTCACAGTTGTTGGTCGTCTTGTCGGTTGGTCAACCTGCTTTATAGAAAAGTGCCCTGTTCTGTGGAATGGAGGCCACTGGCATTGACTGTTGAAACAAGTTGAGGTAGGCCTGTTCTGTGGAGCAGATGTAGCTGGAGTCAATTGTAAACAAGTCGAGTTAGGAAGGAGGGTGGTTGTTGGGAGGCCAGTTCTGTAGAACAGAGGTCACTGTGTCAACTGTGGAGGGAATGCCTTGTAAACAAGTTGAGGTAGGTCTGTTCTGTGAAGGTCGCTGCATCAACTGTGAAGGAAATAACTTGTAAATGAGTCGAAGTAGGATGAGGTGATGGCGTGGGTTGGTTTTGATGAAGGCTTGTAGCTGGGAGGAATTGGGGTTGGGATGTTTTGCGTCAAAACTGTATAACCAAGGTCAAGCCAGGAAGTGGTAATGGTTGTTGAAATGTGTGGTCATGTTGAGTGGTGGTGGTGAAGGCAGTGATGGTGGTAGTAGTAGTGCTTTGCGTGGTGGCCAGTCCATAAATCTGTTGTCATGGTGACGAGGTTATGGTGGTGGTAGCAGCAGCAGCAGCATTACTCTGCTGGATTGCAACTGTTCTCTGGTCATCTTCTGGTCATCCTCAGAGCCTGCTTTTAACCAGGTCTTCTGGTAGTCCCAAGGAGTGTTTCTTTTGCTGGTGGGAATGTTCATGATTGGCCTCATCTGGAGTTCACTTTGTAGGCCGGAAGTGGTGCATGGAGCCCAATGCTCAGAAAATGACTTTTGTCATTTCGCCTTCTGCCAGTGAGCAGAAATAATCAGAATGAGATCTAATTGCAACGGAGTATAACAATCACTTAGAGAGAGAGACAGTATCTTGTCTCTGGTCTTGATACCATAATCAAGTGTACTGAGTGTTTGGCTTTATTAGCTCTACTTCATCCGTAAGTGGTTTGTGATTTCCCTGGTGAGCATGATATCTCAGTAGCATAGTCCCAGGTTGTGAAAGCCACAATGGGAGAGAAGTATCCATAAAGCTTCATTGCAGGATGGAGAAGAACTAGAAGAGTAGCATTAGTTGCAGTACACAACAATGTTCTAATAGCATATACACCCTTGGCAAGGAGACTTTCCCAGTGGTCTATCAAGAATCCATGGTTAGCATCAGCTAACTGTATTGACTTCCATATTATGCTGTTGTGCCTTATACATTGGCCATTACTCTGAGGGTTGTAAAGTGTTGTCCTACTTATGGCTACTCCTTGTTCTCGCAAGAATTACCAAAGAGATGGGGCCCAAGAGACCTGAATGATGCATGAGATGTAAAGTAAATGCAAAAATCACATAATTCATAGATTCATTCAATGGCATCTCACTGCTGATCGCATGACTTCATGGAAAAGTTTTATTCACACAGGTGCATTAGGTTGCCTCTGATTGCTTGTCAACTTATATCAAAGCTGCACAATTGTCTCTGAAGTTATTCAAAATGTTTGGATACAATCTAAAAAAGCCCTATATATCTATATATATATATATTTTTTTTTTAAATAAACATTGAAGTATATTCATATTTATAAATATACATATATGCCTGTACTAAATTTTCACATTTAACCAAACAGAATCAAGATTTATACAATTTTAAAAATATTTAGTTATATATTAATATGTATATTTTCTGTCTCGTAGATTAAAGCATTGGTTTATGAATTTGGTGATATAGTATTTGTGAGTTCAATCCCTTGA